GAAAAAAGGGCCTGAAAAAGGCCGAGTAGTTGCGTGTCCGTCTATCACTCCCACGACCCGGGTTCGAATTCTGCAATTTCTGCAGATTCATCCGGGTAGCCGACTCCCGGTCAACCCAGCCGTCCATCCTTTCGAAGCTGGTAAATGGGTAGACGACGTAAGTTGTCGCATGTTGGCCGGCGAGATGGCTCAGTGGTTCAAATGCGCGCTGAGTCAAACATCTCAATGGCTATCGTATACTCAGCGTATATGATGCGGTGCTTGCGCGTGCACATAAATACATGTGTACGTCGTGTGAAAAGGATAAACAGCCTTTGTGGCGAAGATGGCTGCTTCATAAAATTGGTTGAAGATATGAAGAACATAATAAAAATATATAGATAATATATAGGTAACATTGTAAGTGGTTCTGCGTATGTCAGATCTGCAATAATAAAGACTAATAAAAAAAAAGATTTAGCGAAAGAGTGTTTAACACGAGAAGAAGTGAAAAAAAATTAATATAGGAAATAATTTAAATTGAGACTTGTACATAAATGTGCAAATTTTAAAAATTATTCTATATTTTATAGGTAGTCAGTGCAAGAGAACAAGATATGGAGATATATGAGAAAAGAAAGGGGCACGAGCAACTAGACGAGTAGCAGAGTTAAAAGTTTTACTTAAAGGATAGATTGTAGTTTACTTAAAGGATAGATTGTAGAATCAGGAAGACCATAATAGAGCGAGTTACGGTAATCAATCTTTGATAAGACTAACGAAGTAACAAGAAGGAGAAGAGTAGGATCGTCAAGAAAAGGCAAAAGTTTTTTTATTCTGCGTAGATAAAAGTTAGAACTTCTAGCAAAACTATTATTCTGAGAAGAAAAAAACATAATAGAATCAAAGATAAAACCTACACTATGAAACTTGTAATGTACGTGCTTGATTGAATGATTGATTAATTAATTGATTGATTAATTAATTGATCGCTTGAGTGAGTGATTATATGTATATTGTCATATAATTAGAATAAATATAACGGCCTTCGCTCATTTTTATCTTTGGTTGAAACGAGTATAAATAGAGGAGCTGAGACAACATTAAAATCAGATCAGCATTCTGCCTCGCTTGAAGCAGTCTGTCTGATCTCATTTATTTTATTTTTAAAATTTTTTTATTTTTATTTATTTTATTATATAGAGTTATATAGAGTTATATAGAGTTATATAGAGTTATATAATGTTATATAGAGTTATATAGAGTTTGCATGTTTGTAGGTGGTATTTTTTTAATTTTAGGTGGGTTCTTTAACGGTTGCTCATACATACATACATACATCATGTTTGTTTGTGTGGTAGTATTTTCTGTTCTGTTTTACTCCTTTTCTTTTTCTTTATGAGTCTTGAGTTAAGTTAATGAAGCATAGGTAGGTGAGGTAAAAATTAATTTATTATATAGGTAGGCTAGGGCATAAGGTAATTTAGTTACATAGGTAGGTTAGGGACTCCTATTCTTTTACTCTACTTGGTGGTGTGATTTTTGTTTTGTGTTTTTTTTTGTTTTGTTTCACATCATACACTCAGCAGGTACGCGGTGGTTACTGGTTTTAGTGGGATTTTTATTGATTGAATGTGGTAGTATGCATGGTTATATAGAGTTATATAGGGCATAAATCCTATATAGATAACTTTATTTGCTCTTCTTTTCTATTTTATTTGCCGACCGGTCGGTTTCTTTGCGGTTATTTTCATTTAAATTGAATAAGATTTTTCCATTCATTTAGGTTTTTCAGGTTTATTTATCCAGGTTGAAGCTTCCAGAGGAGTTCATCGTGGACGATCAGAATGGTTGTGATGTTACGCTACGTTCGTTCATTCAGTGGCAAAGAAGATACGCCTGGCTGGGATACGTTTTATTCTTTTTTCTCTGTTTTTCTCTGTAATTTAACATTAAGTAAGAATGCTCACACGCACACGCACACGCACATACACACAATTACATTAAGTAGCTATATAGGTAGATTAGATAGGCATAATTTTAATTGTAGGTAGGATAGATAGGAAGCATCCAACATAATGTAGTTGAATAGGTAGGCAGCGTAAGTTTATCTCTTCTATTTTTTCCTCGCACCCACATTACACGCATCAGCGTATTATACACACACACACACAAATACATACATAAACACATATTAGTATTTGAGCGTTATTTTATTTTCATTACACATTCTAATTTATTATTACTAAGGTTGAGAGTAATTTAATTTCATAGGTAGTTAAAAGCAATAATTTAATTCTAGGAACAATCTTGTAATTTAAATTAAATAAACGCTGTAAGTGTATCGAGAGGTAAGTTAGTTATTAAGTTTTACATTATTATTATTAGGTTGGAGCCCAAGGCATTACGTAGGTGGTGGGGTGGGTGCCGAAAGGCCAATGAATTGGGCTCTTGAGTTTTGTAATTTTAGGTAAGCTAGGGCCATAATGTAATGAATAGGTAAGTTAAGGCTACGTTGTAACACACACTCATTAATAGATTTAGGGTTTAAATTTTATATTACTAAGTTGGAGCCCAAGGCATTACATAGGTGGTGGGGTGGGTGCCGATTGGCAAATGAATTGGGCTCTTGAGTTTTTTTGTAATTTTAGGTAAGCTAAGGCTTAATTGTAATGAATAGGTAAATTGAGGGTACGATAGCCGATAGACTTTGAATTTCGAAGTCTGTTGTCAGAGGTAATGGTTTAATATCCGGACGGCAATGGTTTACTATCTGCACAGTAATGATTTACCATGTGGCACGGCCATAGTCTACTACCCGCACGGCTTCCGGACGGCAAATGGTTTACTATCCGCACGGCAATAGTCTACTATCCGCACGGCAATGGTTTTCTATCCGGTGCCCTGGCTGTCGGTGAACCTCTGTGCAAGGAGGAAGAATGAAGGGGGACTTTCGACTATTGTACCATTAACAATTTAATATAGATTAGTTAAGGTAATTGAATAGGTAGATAGGATTATTTTTATTAAGCAATTTGAGATGCAGGCACCGCTAAGCTTTCTGATGAGAATCTACTCTTTTTCTATCTTTCTCCATCAACACGGGCTGTGTTTCAACAACAACCTTGAGGATGACTGGCACCAGTTTTGGAGGACAACGTAGGAACCGGACCGCATTCAACATTCTGCCTTTGTCGAATGGACGACGGTAAGTTTTTTTTACATTTTACTTACTTTATTATTTTAAAATTTTATTTATTTGACATTATTTTC